TCTGTGCGGAAAGTGAGGCTTCTGGTGAGAGCCCTCCACATGGCTGACAGTGAAAGTGTCTTTTCAACCGAAGCAATCTGAGGCTCGGTCTTTCATCTCCCTCTCTTGCTGCACCCCTCACAATTATCTCACCCAAAATAAGAAGATTATATTTTATTGGATTTGGTTTAGATATATGATTAGAAACACTGTTTATGTGAAGTGTTTGCACTGATTTCCGATAGCATCTTTAGATGTCTGTCATAACCAAGTATGTGTAAGTCATGGGCAGTGTAGCCAGGTCATCCTGACATCAACAGACAGGTGTTCGGCTACATGCAGGTCTAGTGCAGCAACCATTATACAGTACTGTGTCAGTCTGTTTTATTACATAAATCACATCTCTCTTTAGTTCACCTTTGGCATCAAAATTGGAATTTCAATATAGCTGCTAGGTAGCCATCTCTGATCAGAAACAAGAACTATTACAGAATGTTCTCCTCAAGGACGTAAGTAGCCTGGAACTCAGTGGTTGAGATGGCCACCTTGTGTACTACCAAGTATGTTCAAGACCGCGGAAATGTAATATGGCTGTTGGTTTCATATAGGAAAATACAAAACAATCATTATTCATGGCAGCCATATTGATAAAGTCATATGTTGCCATTACTATATTTTCTTGAGTATAGTACACCCTTGTTTCCCACGGCTCTAGCTGGATGTACGTTATACACACTAGAGTGAGTTTATCTTCCCCAAGACTTTACCACAGGAAATACCATGGCAACAAATCTGTAACCAAGAGAATTCATGTAACTACACTGTCAGGTTATAAAAAGTGGTCATTTTATATCTGGACTTATGTTTGTAACCCATTTTATTAATTTTATTTAAAATATCATTTATATAGTTTACATTTTGGCGAAATTGTCTGTGAAGTGATCAGTAGATTGCACTACTCACCATTATTTACAGCAGCCACTGTCAGAATACTGCTACTGGTGCCTTGAAAGAAACTTAAGTTGACAGAGAATCAATATATATATCATAACTGCCATACTTTGTCTCGTTAATAGTCATATTGGTTGTACTTTGACTATATATATCAACATGAAGTTTTTGCGATCACGAGTGTGGGAACCTTGACTGTGACTGGTCAAATTGTTCCATACTTAAAATATATCTGGCAATAACGATCAGTGTACCAAAGTGCTACACTTATAGTTATTATTATTTTAAGTATATATAGTAGAGCTGCAACTAAAATAACATGATATTGGAATATGTTGTTCCTGATAAAATAATAATTTCAGACACAATTCTTCCGAACATCCAGATAATTATGTCTTAGTGATTTGTAACTGAGTCAGATACTGTGTTGTCAGTCATGTCTATTGTGAGTCAAAACCTCTCTCAAACCTCATGGGACCGTGTTGTAATTTCCACATACCCAGACATTCGAGAGAACGGGGCATGAACACCCAGACAGATCAAGAACAGAATTATAGATTTTGGGCAGTACGACTGCATACACAAGAAAGGGAAAACACAACATGCGTATGTGATGACAAATTGAAATGCTTCTCACTGGCAATGATTAATGACAATTGTGACAAACCATGTACAGTGCACATGTACCAGGCATTGCAGCAACCTTTATTTAGTCTGTCCACTACATGGCACTCTTGCCTCATGCTTGGTACTTCACATCTTGGATATTGTGAGTAGCATGACACAGCTTTGGCACTTTGTGATGTAACCAGGAACTTTTAAGTGCCACCATGTTTGTCATGATGTTTTGTCACAACTCACGATGTTTTATCTTTCAATAAAGATTATGATTACAATTGGATTAAAAGATAAGTATATGATTGGATGAACAATTGGTTTAAATTTACTGCGCTTTTACAGCGATGTGACATGTGTGGGGAAAGGTACTCGATATACTTGTGTACTTGCGCTTCTCAAAACTGTTAATGTGGCAAATGCCAACTTCGAGACCAAGGTACAAGATTCTATAATGACGTGAGTGTCACCCCCGGTGAAGTTTGGAGACAGCACTATGTATTTTAATCTCAAATTTTGAGATAAGCAGGCAAATTTCTGTGTATTAATATAGTGAGGCGGTCTGGGTGGGGGTGTACCCGGAAAATAGGATTGAGATATCAGTACATTCGAGTTAATGAGGAGTAGAAATAACAAGCTTTGACAGTCCTCTTCAACCATCAAACTACATCACACACACAAATACACTGCCCAGTGTTGAATTCTGCTCCAAATTCCCTGTTCTGTGATATCCTTCGCTGTCAAAGCAAAATTCCTGAAAAGAACCTAAGGTACATTGTTAATCCTGCAATTTTGGACATGTAACTAAATCACCATTCACAGCATTATTTTGTGTATGTTTTAAGTCCTCTTGTCTAGTAAGTCCCCCTCTCTAGTGAGTCCTGTCTAGTAGGTCACCATTTAGTGAGTCCCCCTGCTTAGTGAGTCCCATTGTCTAGTGAGTCCCCCTCTCTAGTGAGTCCTGTCTAGTAGGTCACCATTTAGTGAGTCCCCCTGCCTAGTGAGTCCCCATCTTGTAAGTCCCCCTGTCTAGAAGGTCCCATTGTCTAGTGAGTCCTGTCTAGTAAGTCACCATTTAGTGAGTCCACCTGTCCAATAAGTCCCCCTGTCTAGAGAGTCCACCTGTCTAGTGAGTCCCCCTGTCTAGAGAGTCCACCTGTATAGTGAGTTCCCCTTTTTAGTGAGTCCCCTATATAGTGACTCCACCTGTCTTGTAGGTCCCCCTGTCTAGTGAGTTCTCCTTTTTAGTGAGTCCTGTCAAGTGAGTCCCCCTTACTTGTGAGTCCCCCTATCTAGTGAGTCCCCCTGTCTAGTGAGTCCTGTCTAGTGAGTCCCCCTATCTAGTGAGTCCCCCTGTCTAGTGAGTCTTGTCTCGTGAGTCTTCCTGTCTAGTTAGTTTTCCTGTCTAGTGAGTCCCATCTAGTAAGTCCTATCACCATTTAGTGAGTCCACCTTTCTAGTAAGTCCCATTGTCTAGTGAGTCCCCTTGTCTAGTAAGTCCCCCTGTCTAGTGAGTCCTGTCTAGTAAGTCACCATTTAGTGAGCCCCCCTACCTAGTGAGTCCCCATCTTGTAAGTCCCCCTGTCTAGTAAGTCCCATTGTCTAGTGAGTCATGTCTAGTAAGAACATTTTGTGAGTCCCCTGTATAGTGACTCCCCCTGTCTCGTAGGTCCCCTTGTCTAGTGAGTTCTCCTTTTTAGGGAGTCCTGTCTAGTGAGTCCCCCTTACTTGTGAGTCCCCCTGTCTAGTGAGTCTTGTCTCGTGAGTCTGCCTGTCTAGTTAGTTCTCCTGTCTAGTGAGTCCAGTCTAGTAAGTCCTATCACCATTTAGTGAGTCCACCTGTCTAGTAAGTCCCATTGTCTAGTGAGTCCTGTCTAGTGAGTCCCCCTGTCTAGAGAGTCCACCTGTCTTGTGAGTCTCTCTGTCTAGTCACTTTCCCTGTCTATTAAGTCCCGCTGTCTCATAAGTCCCCCTGTCTAGAGAGTCCACCTGTCTTGTGAGTCCCCCTGTCTAGAGAGTCCACCTGTCTTGTGAATTCCCCTTTTTAGTGAGTCCTGTCTAGTGAGTTCTCCTGTCGAGTGAGTCCCCCGGTATAGTGAGTTACCCTGTCTAGTGGGTCCCCTTGTCTAGTGAGCCCCCCTGTCTAGTGAGTCTCCCTCTCTAGTGAGTCCCCCTGTCTAGTGAGCCCCCCATCTAGTGAGTCTCCCTGTCTAGTGAGCCCCCTTGTCTAGTGAGTCCTCCTGTCTAGTGAGTCCCTCTGTCTAGTGAGTCTCCCTGTCTAGTGAGTCCTCCTGTCTAGTGAGCCCCCCTGTCTAGTAAGTACCCCTGTCTAGGGAGTCTCCCTGTCTAGTAAGTCTCCCTGTCTAGTAAGTCCCCCTGTCTAGGGAGTCCCCCTGTCTAGTAAGTACCCCTGTCTAGGGAGTCCCTCTGTCTATTGAGTCTTCTTGTCTAGTAAGTCCCAACTGTCTAGCAAGAATCCTGTGAGTCCCCCTGTCTAGTGACACCCCCCCATTCCTGTTGGATCCCCTGCCTTCCCATACTGCACTGCATGCATTGTATACAAGAACGTAGCCATTGAAATTTAAACAAACTCATGAATAAAACCTTGTTTTTGTGGCCATGTTGTGTGTGTGTTTGTGAGTGAGGGAGGGAGAGGGGAGCCTGGAGATGACTGCCGCCCGTGATGCGTGAAGTCGGCTCCCTGCGGGAGCCCCGTAAACTGATCACCTCATTGTGCCTGGCCTACCTCTCTCAGCAAGACAAATCTCGAAAGTGAAAAGCGATTGAGCGGGGTGTACAGGGCAGTTTTCCCCCTCATCGCGCCACTATACAGCCTGGGTGATTTATGCCTTTACACTGAGTCGCGGCCGACTTGCACACAATTAGCATATTGATACAACCGACAATATCACATTCTTATATGAAAGGTGTGTTTTACAGAAAAACTGAGGTGCTCCTGACTCGTACAAACGGTGATGAATGCAAGCTTTGTGGCAACACTTGATGACGAGAATACCCTCTTTGGGCTGTAGAATTTGTCAGCAATTGTTGAGGGGGTGAATGGGGAGGAAATAAAGATTACGCAAATTGACATATGATTTATTTGTGTGGAGATTTAGCTGTTATTCCTAGCTGTTGCAACACATGATTATGTTTAAGACACCTGCACACTGGCAAGTTTTTTAAATTCCACTTCAAGACAAGAGACATGTCTCATTTTAGCATGTTTAGACATGAAATTAAACAAGAATTTATAAATTACAAGTTTTTCACAAAGCATTAATATCTTGTGAACAAGCTTGTAATATTCGGCCAAATGAGTACATTTGCATATAGCCTCCATACAGACAGTGGAACATTAGAGAATGACTCATCTTGTTTACAATGTACATGTTTCTATAAATTCAGGAAAAATATGTTAAACCATATGGAATGATTGTGTTGGTTATTTCCAGGTCCTGTAGGATTCGTCCATATTTCCTCCAATGCTGAGACAACCAGGGTGGTGACTTGCAGTGCTAACATCTTCCTGGTCTGACACTGTTGGACACTGTTGGTCAATGTTGGACACTGTTGGTCACTGTTGGACACTGTTGGTCAATGTTGGTCACTGTTGGACACTGCAGAGGATGATGATTTCAATGTGTGACCTAGTTTATGCAAGGGCAGGTTGTCCTTGCAGTGTGAGAAGCCCACAGCCTATTTCCTACGTTGTCATATAAAATATCTCCTTTATTATTTATGCTGTCAATCAGCAAGTAACAGGTATTAATTTACCGCCCTTGCTGAAATCCTCTCAACTCCAAAGGCAAGAAACCCTCTCCTACAATGACCTGTGTTCATGGGTTCACGACTACTTCTACTGAAGTCAAATGTAAGCGCATCTCCAAAGAGCAGTTTAGGTTTTATAACATATTTCAAACAGTATTACCGTATTCAACGTAATAAGCGCCCAGGGCGCTCTCAAAATTAGAAATAGGGTGCTCTTATTATAATATAATTTTGGTGAAAAAAAACCCAGAGTTGAAAGATTGAAAATTTCGTGGTTTATGCTGACAGCCCGAAATGATACAAGAGAAAAGTCTGTGCGTATTATACACGACAGATATATTTTCCAGAATATAATTGCCATAATTAAGGGTGCATACATATATAACACACGAGTGTGTATAATACACGAATAAATAAGTCTTGTGTACATTGACCGGAAGGGGTGCTAATTGGGATTGTTCACTAGCCAATATATTAGCAAATATCGCGGTGGGCGCTTATTAGAGAGGGGCGCTTACTACGTCGAATACGGTAATAGTCTTTGTAGCGAGAATTCTTTTTTGACAAAACGGACATATTAGTAATTAATTTGCTGTGGAGCCTACACAATATATTTGATGAGAGACCTAGTCTCGAAAAGACAATAAATATGTTTTAGGAAATCTTTATCTTGAAAAATTTATTGATTTTTGTGTGAATGTGTGGAATCACGGGGAGCCCGTGTTTGGTAAAGTGTTTGATAAAGTGTTTGGTAAAGTGTTTGGGAGGTAGAACACCACACCTTTCTTGTTTAGGTTGTGTCCTTTGTGATGTCACAGGTTCAAAGCCAAAGGAAGTAGTGAAACAACTTATTCCACAGCCAGTGCTTATGGTGACAGGCCAATACTAAGGCCAGCAGTGCTTATTGTGACATACCACTACTATGGCCAGCAGTGCTTATTGTGACATACCACTACTATGGCCAGCAGTGCTTATTGTGACATACCACTACTACGGCCAGCAGTGCTTATTGTGACATACCACTACTATGGCCAGCAGTGCTTATTGTGACATACCACTACTATGGCCAGCAGTGCTTATTGTGACATACCACTACTATGGCCAGCAGTGCTTATTGTGACATACCACTACTTTGGCCAGCAGTGCTTATTGTGACATACCACAACTATGGCCAGCAGTGCTTATTGTGACATACCACTACTATGGCCAGCAGTGCTTATTGTGACATACCACAACTATGGCCAGCAGTGCTTATGGTGACATACCACTACTATGGCCAGCAGTGCCTATTGACATCATCATATCAGTATCGTACTATAATATGCAGACGTCATCATATCAATATCATACCATAACATGCAGTCGTCATCATATCAACATAATTACCATGACATGTAGACATCATCATATCAATATCATACCATAACATGCAGACGTCATCATATCAACATCATTACCATGACATGCAGACATCATCATATCAATATCATACCATGACACGGAGAAGTCATCTTATCAATGTGATACCATAACATACAGACGTCATCATATCAATATCATACCATGACACGCAGACGTTGTGATATCAATATCGTACAAAAGCATGCAGACGTCATCATATCAGTATAATATCATAACATACAGACGTCATCTGATCAATATCATACCATGACACGCAGACGTCGTGATATCAATATCATACAAAAGCATGCAGACGTCATCATATCAGTATCATACCATAACATTCAGACTTCATCATATCAGTATCATACCATAATATTCAGACATCATGATATCAATATCATACCATGACATGCAGACATCATCATATCAGTATCATACCATAACATTCAGACTTCATCATATCAGTATCATACCATAATATTCAGACATCATGATATCAATATCATACCATAACATGCAGACATCATCATATCAATATCATACCATGCCATGCAGACATCAGCATATCAGTATCATACCAGAATATGCAGACGTCATGATATCAATATCATACCATGACATGCAGACGTCATGATATCAATATCATACCATGACATGTAGACATCATCATATCAGTATCATACCAGAATATGCAGACGTCATCATATCAATATCATACCATAACATGCAGACATCATCATATCAATATCATACCATAATATGCAGACATCATCATATCAGTGTCATACCATAACATGCAGACGTCATGATATCAATATCATACCATGACATGCAGACATCATCATATCAGTATCATACCGTAACATGCAGACGTCATTATATCAATATCAGACCATGACATGCAGACGTCATTATATCAATATCAGACCATGACATGCAGATGTCATGATATCAATATCTCACCATGACATGCAGACATCATCATATCAGTATCATACCATAATATGCAGACGTCATGATATCAATATCATACCATAACATGCAGACATCATCATATCAGTATCATATCATTACATGCAGACGTCATCATATCAGTATCATCCCATAACATGCAGACGTCATCATATCAGTATCATACCATAACATTCAGACTTCATCATATCAATATCATACCATAATATTCAGACGTCATCATATCAATATCATACCCTGACATGCAGACGTCATCATATCAGTATCATACCAGAATATGCAGACATCATATCAATACCATACCATGACATTCAGACGTCATCATATCAATATCATACCATGACATGCAGACATCATCATATCAGTATCATACCATAACATGCAGACGTCATGATATCAATATCATACCATGACATGCAGACGTCATGATATCAATATCATACCATAATATGCAGACGTCATCATCATATCAATATCATACGATAATATGCAGACGTCATCAAATCAATATCATACCATGACATGCAGACATGATCATATCAGTATTGTACTATAATATGCAGACATCATCATATCAGTGTCATACTAAAATATGCAGACGTCATCATATCAATATCATACCATAATATGCAAACGTCATCACACAATATCATACCATGACATGCAGACGTCATCATATCAATATCATACCATGACATGCAGACGTCATGATATCAATATCATACCATAATATGCAGAAGTCATCACACAATATCATACCATGACATGCAGATGTCATCATATCAGTATCATACCATAACATGCAGACGTCATCATATCAATATCATACCATGACATGCAGATGTCATCATATCAATATCATACCATGATATGCAGACATCATCATATCAGTATCATACCATAACATGCAGACATCATCATATCAATATCATACCATGACACGCAGACGTCGTGATATCAATATCATACAAAAGCATCCAGACATCATCATATCAGTATAATATCATAACATACAGACGTCATCTGATCAATATCATACCATGACACGCAGACGTCGTAATATCAATATCATACAAAAGCATGCAGACGTCATCATATCAGTATCATACCATAACATTCAGACTTCATCATATCAGTATCATACCATAATATTCAGACATCATGATATCAATATCATACCATGACATGCAGACATCATCATATCAGTATCATACCATAACATGCAGACGTCATCATATCAATATCATACCATGACATGCAGACTTCATCATATCAATATCATACCATAACATGCAGACGTAATCATATCAATATCATACCATGCCATGCAGACATCAGCATATCAGTATCATACCAGAATATGCAGACGTCATGATATCAATATCATACCATGACATGCAGACGTCATGATATCAATATCATACCATGACATGTAGACATCATCATATCAGTATCATACCAGAATATGCAGACGTCATCATATCAATATCATACCATAACATGCAGACATCATCATATCAATATCATACCATAATATGCAGACATCATCATATCAGTATCATACCATAACATGCAGACGTCATGAAATCAATATCATACCATGACATGCAGACATCATCATATCAGTATCATACCGTAACATGCAGACGTCATTATATCAATATCATACCATGACATGCAGACGTCATTATATCAATATCAGACCATGACATGCAGATGTCATGATATCAATATCATACCATGACATGCAGACATCATCATATCGGTATCATATCATAACATGCAGATGTCATGATATCAATATCATACCATGATATGCAGACGTCATCATATCAATATCATACCATGACATGCAGATGTCATCATATCAATATCATACCATGATATGCAGACATCATCATATCAGTATCATACCATAACATGCAGACATCATCATATCAATATCATACCATGACACGCAGACGTCGTGATATCAATAGCATACAAAAGCATCCAGACATCATCATATCAGTATAATATCATAACATACAGACGTCATCTGATCAATATCATACCATGACACGCAGACGTCGTAATATCAATATCATACAAAAGCATGCAGACGTCATCATATCAGTATCATACCATAACATTCAGACATCATCATATCAGTATCATACCATAACATGCAGACGTCATCATATCAATATCATACCATGACATGCAGACTTCATCATATCAATATCATACCATAACATGCAGACGTAATCATATCAATATCATACCATGCCATGCAGACATCGGCATATCAGTATCATACCAGAATATGCAGACGTCATGATATCAATATCATACCATGACATGCAGACGTCATGATATCAATATCATACCATGACATGTAGACATCATCATATCAGTATCATACCAGAATATGCAGACGTCATCATATCAATATCATACCATAACATGCAGACATCATCATATCAATATCATACCATAATATGCAGACATCATCATATCAGTATCATACCATAACATGCAGACGTCATGAAATCAATATCATACCATGACATGCAGACATCATCATATCAGTATCATACCGTAACATGCAGACGTCATTATATCAATATCATACCATGACATGCAGACGTCATTATATCAATATCAGACCATGACATGCAGATGTCATGATATCAATATCATACCATGACATGCAGACATCATCATATCGGTATCATATCATAACATGCAGACGTCATGATATCAATATCATACCATGATATGCAGACGTCATCATATCAATATCATACCATGAAATGCAGACATCATCATATCAATATCATACCATTACATGGAGACGTCATCATATCAATATCATACCATGACATGCAGACGTCATGACATCAATATCATACCATGATATGCAGACGTCATTATATCAGTATCATACCATGACACGGAGAAGTCATCTTAAAAATATGATACCATAACATACAGACGTCATCATATCAATATCATACCATGACATGCTGACATCATCATATCAATATTATACCATGAAATGCAGTCGTCATCATATCAATATCATACCATAACATGCAGACGTCATGATATCAGTACCATACCATAATATGCAGACGTCATCATATCAATATCACACCATAATATGCAGACGTCATCATATCAGTATCATCCCATAACATGCAGACGTCATCATATCAATATCATACCATAACATTCAGACTTCATCATATGAATATCAGACCATAATATTCAGACGTCATCATATCAATATCATACCATAACATGCA